AATTTTTCTTTTACTTTTCAAGGAGAGAAGTGAACTGGTGGGGAGAGGTGGGCAGGGAGAAAAGTGCAACAATGAATGAATACAAATCCAAGATCTCTATAAATGTTCATTAAAATGAAAAAAAATAATAATAATAAATTTTTTTAAATGCCCCTGGCACCTCGATGAAAGGCCCCTGGCAGTCTCCTGCTGAATAATCACAGGCACTGTGGGTTCTCCTTGGAGACCCAGGGCACTTCCATGAATCAGAATGGACGTGCCGGCAACTGGTTGCTTGGTTTTTACCTGAAGAAGAACCCAGATGTAGAAATGTGCCAGGTTTTCCATCGTCTTACAAAGATATAAAGGCAAATCTTGAGCTCCATTTCTACGTTCCTACTTGGTGAGCTGTTTTGACATTTCTGTTTGTTTTAACTTTTCAGTAGCTGCTACCTTGGGACAGTAGGCATATTACTTAGAACTTGTTGTTGGGGAGCTTTGGTGGCCTAGTGGCAAGAAGCTGCACTGCAATCCCAGAGGCACACGGTTCGAATCCACCAGATGCTCTGCTGAGGAAGGGCGGACAGTCTCCTCCTGTACCGGTCAGATCTGATTTGACGGTACACGCACACACACAAATAATAAAATAAAATAAAAAAAAATTAAAAAAAAGAACTTGTTGCTATACTAGATGTTCCATTGCATTGCAGTCCTGAAGGCACAGGGTTCAAGGCCGCTTGAAGCTCCTCCTTGGGAGAAGGATGGGCATTCTCCTTTTATGGGATTAACTGCCTCTGAAGACCCACTGAAGGATCAGCTGTGGGTTGGTTTTTTTAAATTTTGGTTTTGTTTGATAATGCTTATTATGCTATCAACATAAGGAAACTTTTTAGCATCATAATGTAAGTTTTATATTACCATCATATCCATTGTTTCTTTTCACTTGTTCAGGGAGCTTTTTCTAGATTCTGACCTCTTGTACAAGCCAAAGATTTCATTTTAAAACTGTGACTAAGAGTCTCACCTGTTTAATAAGTTTTTTTACAACTAAGAAAATTAGACTCCTCCATCCTAATTAATGTAATTTAAAAAATAAAATCCAGCACATATTGAATCACTCTGGATAATTTCTTAAATCAATGTGGTGGGTTTGGTTTTTTCCCCCCAAATCGTGTCTCAGTAGATGCTCTTGCAAAGGCTGTCTTGTAGTTCAAGAGTCTGTGCACTAGAGGGCAGTAAGAAGTTTTAAAAAAAAAAGTTGGCCTGCTCTTGTCTAATTGCACTTTCTATAAATAGAGGTGTTATCAGTTGAGATTTAGAAAAGAAATAAGTGGCATCTTCTTTTTCATCCTAGGCGAAGCTGGATATTGCATTTGGAACACATCATACGTAAGCAATTTTTTAAAAAATATAAGTTTTCTTTTATACTGGTTTACTTACAAAGTTCGTATACATTGATTTTTTACAGCGGATCTTTCCCATTTCTTTTACCCACCCCTCCCTCCACCCTGTGATTACCACCCTACTGCCTTCCTCACCCCTCTGATCCCCTCCTCCCCCACTTAGATCCTCATTTACGGTTTATTAGTAATCTAGTTCTACAATAATGGTCTTACACAGTATTTGTCCTTATGGGACTGAGTTAGTTCACTTAGCTTCATGCTCTCCAGGACCTCCTAAGTTAGGCAGTAATTCTCAAAATCATTGCTCCTCCATGAAGATAAGTAATTTTTATGAAATGGGGGGAGGATACGGTTTTAATAGAGCAAAAGGTGCTGTCGTAAAAAGTACTCTCAGAAGGACTAGTGGTGCATGATTTTGCTGGGGAAAATTAAGCTCTCAGGAGGAAGTAGATTGTTTTCAGATAGTTTGAGACAAACTGCTGCAACGCTGGCTCTCAGTGCAAAGGTCGGGATCCATTTCTGCTTCATGTGGCACATTCTTCTTCCTGACTTGGTGACGGATGTGGATAGATCGCAGTGAGGTGGTCCTGTAGCTGATGACTGTATGTCTCTCAAGCCAAGTGCCACTGATTCCCCCACTCTAAACAGACCTGTGATTTTCCATAAAACTCTTAAGTCACGTGAAATAGAAGACGTCAGCTATACACTGAATGAAAAGGCTTTATTTAAAAAAAATTGTCAACCTACAAAGTTGACTGTAGTGTGATGAATGAATAGGACCCAGTGTTGTGACTTCCACAGAATGGTTGAGTGAAACTATTAAAACAAGGTGGTCATAGTCCACAAGGTGGACAGCTTACTAGCATGTACGTAAACTACACAGAATCCTTGTCCTGGTGAAATCATGCAAATAAAATGTTGCTGCATGCTGTCGAGTTTGACACCAACTCATAACTGACCCTCCAGCAGGTTTTCAGAGGCAAGCAATCACGTGGGTGGAGATTGCCTATCCTTCTCCTTTTGTGCATCTGGTGGATTTGAACCACATGCCTTTGGGATTGCAGTGCAACTTCTTACTATGAGGTCACCAGAGCTCCCTAAATAAATTATGTTGTTGTGTACCATCACAGTCAACACTCTCAGCACCAGTAGCCAGGAAATGAAAAGACGTATTGCAATGGGAAAGTCTACTGTTAGGGACCTCTCTAAAGTACTAAAGAGCAATGGTGTCTCTCTGGAGACTAAGGTGCGTCTGATACAGGCCATGGTTTTTGCAGTCACTTGTTATGCATCAGAGGGTTGGACAATGACTAGGAAGGATGAGAATTGATGCCTTTGAGCTGTGGTGCTGGAGATGAGTATTGAGGGTACCATGGACTGCCAAGAAAACAAACAGATTCATCCTGGAAAAGGTCAAACCAGGCAGCTCCTTGGAGGCAAGGATTCTGAGGCTCCGTCTAACATACTTTGGACATGTTGTAAGGAGGGACCAGTCCATGGAGAGGGACATCATGCTTGGGAGGGTGGAGGGACATCGCAGGATTGGAAGGCCCTCTATGAGGTGGATTGATTCAGTGACTGGGGTAATCGGGATGGGTGTGTCAAAGTCATTGTGATTGGCACAGGACAGAGCAGGGTTTAGGGCTGTTGTACATAAGGTCGCTATGAGTCGCAAGCGACTCGACGGCACATAACAACATAACATACCATCGAGTCAGAATTAACCCTCTGTCAGGTTTCCTGAGGCAGTTAATCGCATGGGGGAGAGATTGCCCCTTTTTGTCACATGAAACAGCTGGTGAGTTTGAACCATGTGCTTTCAGGATGGTAGCAGAGCTACAGCAGTTGGAAGCACAGCTTCTTACCCCTAGGCCGCCAGAGCTCACTAACCAAGATGTAGGGAGTTCTAAAGTTATGTGATACTGCGAGCCTTGAAAAAGAGGAAAGAAGTCCAATTCCAGAACAGGAATGAGAAACACCACCACCGCCCAATAGTCAAGAAAGACGAGGCAGGAGTTGAGTGAGTCCTTTAAGACCAGTGTTCCGATGTTGAGGACCCCCTAATCCCAAGAGAAAGGGTCATCATACCAGCAAGAAGCAGTAACAGAAGAAGGATGGCAGTAGAATCAGACAACAGAACAAGACTCTGTGGATGGGCTTCCATTCTGTAGAGAAAGATGGCTGTGTGAGTACGCTGACCCATAGTGAGAGGGCAGAGTGCTTTCAGGAAAGCACCTGTTCCTGGTGGAATAGAGTGCCGCCTCTCGGCCCTTACCAGCAGAGCTCAAGAGCTCTATAACACTCAGCTGAGCGGAGCTAAAGACAGAAGGCTGAGAGGAGGCCTGTTCTTGGGAGATTGAGAGTATGGTGTCACACTGAAGAAGGAAGACTCTCCAAATCCCTCTTGACCATGATCCCAAGTTATAATGTGTTACTTCCCCCATAAATCCCATAATCACAAATACTGTTTAGATGAGCTCTGTGTGGCCATTGCAAGGAATTGCTGAACGCAGCAGAGAAACAGAGGGTGGTAGGATGTCTGGTATCACAATTGATGAAAGATTGGAGGGTGAAGTTATGCCTGACCGCTACATCACAGGAGTCCACTTTGGGCTGTTAACGGTGATACTCCCCGCTCTGAAGTTAGTGACGAGCAGAAGCTCCACGCCATTTTTACATTGATGCCAGTCCCAGCTCAAGACATCTCCAAAATTCCTCTCTTAGAGTGTTTTCTGAGACGTCATAAAACAGACAGGAAAGGCTCTTTTCTGATACTTCCTACTTGACACCTTGCACCCCGATTATCTGCTTAACTCCTGCTTTACTCAATTTAGCTTAACAGCTGTTTGAGCTCTTTCACAAAATGATCTATAAATGAGAAAAAGACCGAAGACATAGTTTAAACATTTTTAGAAATCTCATCCCTCCGGAAAGGACTTGTCAAAGGAATGTGACAAAGTCTCGTTCTTTTCCTCCTAGACTGGAGGTGGGAATGGGTAGCTTCCTGTTTGGTGCCTGGTCCTTCAGGTGTCTGTTTCTAAGGCAACAAAAGAATCTCCGAGGAGGGGAGTTTATCCTGAGTCATGCTGTTTGCCTGATGTTCACAGCATCCTGAAACGATGCCACTGAGTTCATCTTTCTCTCTGGTAAAAATTAACATCTACCGATCTGCTTTGAAAAGAAGCACGAGGTGATGCCCTCCGTCAAGGATGCCTGTCAGCCACACATTATCTGTGCTGTGTAAATGTCACGGTGTCCGTCAGCTGCCGCTAATTGGTAGCTTGAGCCCAGCAAGAGATGGTGTTTGAGGATTGTCGAGATCAAACACCGGAGCACCCCGGACAGAAGTCTTTTTTTCTTTCAGTAGCAGCAAGCAGACAAGATAGTGATTTTAGCAGCAAAGACATGGTGTCATCTGATAGGATGACTCAACTTCTTAGGTGTCCCTGAGTCTGTCTTAGAAGACTCGGGAGGAGGGTAGAGAGGTGGCATCCATCAGCCTGCTCCGTCAGGAAATGGGTAGCTCTTAGCAGAAACCCTAGGCTAAATACTAGTTCTGAATAACAAAGTCCTGGACCTGATTGTCTAGACGGCCGAGCCACCATGAGCATCATGTTACAGAGTGGCACTGGCCGGAGGTGCCCGCAGATGGGGGCTAGAAGCCAAGCCAGTGGTTTTATCAGCAATGCCCCAAGTCCTCAGAGGGGCTGAGGGTGTGGGATGCCCTGCTGAACCTATGGGAGATCCTCTTTATTTACTGCTCTCCCAGAGACTTGTGTGTGTCCCATCCTCCTCTTCGTGGTGGAGCCCTGACGGGGTTGTGCTGTTAGTCCATAGGCTGCACCTCCCTGGAAGGTTCGAATCCACCAGCGTCTGGACATTCTCCTCCCGACTTACAGAGCGACTTAAAGCCTCTGTAACCCAGCAGAGGGTGAGCCGTGAGTTGGTACTGCCCCGATTCTAGTGAGGATTTTTCTGTATGTTTGCTTTTGGATGTATAGACCAGGAGCCTGAGGAGGGCACTGAAGCAGCTTTCTTCAGCCCAGTGGTGGAGACAGACATAAAAGTCATTTGTTCGCTTTTCCATTTTTAATTTCATGTTTATTCACTGAGAAGATTGCTTTCATTGTTCCCTTTTAGTCTGTCCCACCACCCACATGCACGCGCGTGCGCGCGCACACACACACGAGACCCAACAGAGAGTTCTAGGTCTAGAGTCTAAAATGCCCAGAGAAGTCATCACACCCTCCCTCAACTATGTAGTAACAGTATTTGACATTTTCTTAAAATTTTCTATCCTATAAAAAGTTGGGCTCATGTCTTGAGGTTGCTTTTGATTGCTCGTGTCAAACTCCCTTAATAAGTATTCGTTAGATATCTCTTTATGTTCTTGAAACACAGCTCTAGCGGCTGTAAAATGTTTTGATTCAATAGTTTCTATGCTAGGCAGTCTTCAGTCTTCTGGAGAAAGACTCTGACCCTCAGCTCCTGATGGTGGGTGGACGTTGCTCCTGGGTGTGTTAGAGACTTCCCAGGCCAGCAAGGAGCCGAGCTGTAATTATGCAGAAGGCAAGTAGTTTGGGGGCGTCCATTTATGTGTGCAAATACACACTGGCCATACACCCCGTGTTCATATAGAAACACTCAAGATGCAGCCCCAATCCTCCAGGAGCTTAGAGTCCTTGCTGGTAAAAATAGACAGATTCTTTGCTTGTCTCAGTCTCTAGGATTCGGGAAACGTGCTTGGCTACTAACCAAAATACTGGCAGTTCAAGTCCACCCAGTGTACCTTGGAAGAAAATCCCGGAGGTCTCCTGAAAACTCTGCCACTGAAAACACTGTGGGCATAGTTCTCTGAGACTCCTGGGATCAGCAAAATGGGAATCTACTGAACGCCCACCGTGGGGAGATGTGATTTATCTCACAGCATTTGAGAAGTTGGAAGCCCTTCGTGGACAGAGTCAACTTCTCATACTCTAAGAGTAGATGGTGGATAGGGGAGAATATAAAGCCAATGGCTGCTGGATGTGCCTGTGAGCTGGTGACAGGTCAGCCTGCCCCCTTCCAGAACCAGGCCTCCCACCACACACCATTCAGGCCTTGCTCATCAGGACTCCTTCTTTGACTTCTGCCCACACACACGAAGTGTCCCTGCTGGCACCAAAAAGCCCCACAGAAGCCAGTCCAGGGAGAGGAGCGCACTGTGTAGGAACCAGACCGACTCTTACCCGAGCTGCTTATTAACCTGCATGAACTGGCCGTCACCTCCCAAGCCACGGACAGCGGTTGTGATGACTTGGAGAGATGGCACCTTCCTCTCTGGATGGCTACATGAATGTAAGAATCAGTGCATTTGAACTGCGGTGTTGGGGAAGAGTGTTGAATATCCCATGGCCTGCCAAAGGAACAACCAGGTCTTGGAGAAAGTGCAGCCAGAGGAGGCAAGGATGTCAAGGCTTCATCTCACACCCTTCTGGTATGGTGTTAGGAGAGGCTGTTCCTTGGAGAGGAACATCGTGTTTGGAAAGATGGGGCATCAGTGAGGGAGACAAAGACCCTCAGTGAGATGGGCACTGTGTCTGCGGACTCCAGTGTGTCGAGGATGATAAGGATGGTGCAGGATAGGACAGAGTTCAGACATGTAGTTGATTCAAGTTCATGGAGACACTACAGTGTCAGAGTAGAACTGTGTTACATGAAATTGAGTTTTTGACAAGAGATCACCACCCCTTTCTTCTGAGGGACCTCTTGGTAAACTAGAACTTTTAACCTTTCGGTTAACAGCTAAGTGCACTAACACTTTGTACTACCTACAACTTCCCACTCTTCTTTAACTTTCTTGAATTATGACTTTATTAGCATATGCCTTGTCTCTGAAAAGCTTAGTACAGCTTTCCTTAAATTATTTCATGATTCTATTTGGAAGCGTTCACTGACACCAGTGCATGATTTCTCCAATAATTGGTGCCTTGATTAATGGAAATATTTGTAAAGCTTGTATCATGAATCCGTAATGGGCTTATTCTTAATTACATTCACCTGCTATTTTGGCAACTGTGTATGCATTTTTGCCCAGATTTCAGGGAGCACATTTCATAAATGGAAAGACGACCGAACAGCTGTCATTTCTCCAACTTTACATTAATTTGGTATTTGCCAGCTTGGATTCGATTCTCATCTTGGCACCAGCTAAATATCTCATTTGCTCTTCTGTTCACATAGGCTTTTCGCCCTCTTTTTATGCTAGCCCCCAGCTGACCGAGCAGAATTCATGCTTTTGTTTAATTGGAAAAAATTCAGTGAGGTTTTTTTTCCTTCCATGTATGAACCTCAACCTCACGGCCATCAATTCAGAACCGACTCGCGCTGACCCATTGGGTTTTCTAGGCCATAAATCACAGGTGGCAAGCTCACCCACCTGTCTCCCGCAGCGCCGCTGGTGGTTAGAACTGCCGGAGAGGCGCCACCTTTGGGTAACTATTAAGCTGCACTTTGCCTTCAATGAAAAGAGTGAAATAAATCGAGCCGGGGTCACCGCCATGAGGAGCAACGTTCTGGTAAGGGAGAGAGAACTTAGATACCTGCAGTAGTTAATTTCTGCAGTAGTTAGAAAGCTTTCTTTTCTTCCCAAAGTAACCCCATGAAGTAAGCAAGGGAGGGCTCATCCTTCATGTCCCAGTGAAAGCTGGGTGATGTGCCTAGGGCCAGGCTACTTCCAAATGACCAAGACCGGAGCTCGAGTCTTCACACTTCATTCCCGCTTTCTGACTGGAGTTAAAACGAGAGAAATATATCTGATGACTGCCCGAGAAATCATCCCACGGAACAACAGGGACTTAAACTAAGCTCGAATTATTAGAGAAGTGAAGTCGGGCCTGAAGTGTCTATTCAATACCTACATGTGGAGCGCTTGCAGAGTACGGAGAAAAGTCAATCCAAAGGAAATGACCCTCTTTCAGACTCAGTAACTATAGCCAATAGTAAGAAAGACACTTCATATTCCAGTCTGGGATGCACATACCTACCTAGGTACTGAAACAAAAATCTTGCAAAGAAGTACTTAATTTAAATCTGTATAGTATGCTCTGGATGTTTTTTTTGTTGTTTGTTGCTTTTTTAAAAGATGATTGTTTTACTCTATTTCCATTTTCTTTGTTATTTGCTAGCCACAGAGCACCTCTAAGTTGTGAATGCACTCGATACTGGACAAGAGGGGGTTTCCCACTGGTAATCAGAGTAACATACAATGCTGAGTAGATGATAGAGGACTAAACTGGCCACTTGGGGCAAATACTTTGAGCATTTGAGAAGGTTATTTTTTGCGTTTCACTTAGGCAGGCTATCATAATGGTAATAGGTAGAAGATAGGGGTGTTATAAATGTAAATAATATTGATCATTAGGATTAAAGATTTCTGTGGAAGAATTCTGATCAAAAGGGAGAAAATGCAGTACAGAATTTTAAATTCTCATAGACCCCCCAGACTTGCTGGTGCCATGGAGTCTGAGTGAATGAACTGAAATTATTGTGCTGAGATAATCTTTACACTTTGAACCAAAACTATCCCCTGAAGCCTTAGCTTAACAAGTTTAGCTGAACTAGTAAGAAATGTCTGCCTTAGGTATTACAGTCTTTTAAGAGCTCTCTCTAAGGGCTCAAAGTGACAGTGGCAGCTCAAAAGTTAGAGAAGCGTGAGGGAGCCGTGCATTTATGTTAATGGGGGAAAGGTACATCTGATAAAAGGGGAGTAGCACTGGGTGTGCAGCTCCACAAATAATCATTAATGACGCTGAATTGCCGTGTAGGCATGGTTGAGCTGGTGTATGTTTTGTTTTGTGTTTGGAAGGCTGTGTGGCGCTTTCTCAAAACGTTGCAAATAGAAATACCATTTGACCCAGCAATTCTTCTACTGGGAATATACCCTAAAGAAACCAGAACTGCCACCCAGGCAGATATATGCACACACATCTTTATTGCGGCTTTGTTCACAATAGCAAAGAGTTGGAAACAACCCAAATGCCCATCAACAAACGAATGGATAGAGAAGCTCTGGTATATTCACACGATGGAATACTATGCTGCATTGAAAAACAAGGAACTCATGCAATATTATTCAAAATGGTTGACTCTGGAGGACATTATGCTGAGTGAAATATCCCAGTCACAAAAGGATGGATACTGCGTAGTGCCACTGTTGTAAAACAGGACTGACATCAGGGTTAGGGTGAGACTGAGAAAAACTAGATAAAGTATGTATACTACATTGAAACAGATGAGGGAGAGAACAGTTTATAAGTGATGTATGATAGGGTATTATGGTTATGACAAGAGTCCAGAATGAAGGTTGCACAGTGGAGTGTACTTGGGGAGGAGGGGGGATTGTATACCAATAAAGGAATTTTTCTTTTACTTTTCAAAGAGAAAAGTGAACTGGAGGTTGGGGTAGGGCAGGGAGAAAAATGCAACAGTGAATGAATGGAAATTCAGAATCTCTGTAAGTGTTCATTAAAATTAATAAAATAATTTTTTTTAAAAAAAAAGAAATGAAGGGGAGCTCTGGTGGCCTAGTGGCAAGGAACTGCAACTACAATCCCAGAGGCACACGGTTCGAACCCACCAGATGCTCTGTCGGGGAAGGAGGGACAGTCTCCTCCTGTACCAGTCAGATCTGATTTGACGGTACACGCACACAAAAAAATAATAAAAAAATAAAAGGCATCAATTTAAAAAAAAAATGAAATGAAATGCAACATGTAACTAAGGATGCCGTTGTTAGGAGTAGCTGCGGTGCGTTTGCAGTAGAAAGGACTGACCTGGCGGTGCCCTCTGACCCCTTCCTCCTGTTTTGAAGGAAGATGATGCTCTTACTCTATGAAGAAGGCCTCCGGGTTGTCATCCACACCTCCAACCTCATCCGCGAGGACTGGCACCAGAAGACTCAAGGGTATGCGGCTTCAGTTCACCCCACGGCAGTGTCTCTATGGGCTTAGAAAGGTGAAAAGCCGGAACGTTCGCTCTGTTCTTGTATTTTTCTTTTTTCCCAGCCGTCTTAGTTGTAGAAGCACACCACAGAAAAAGAGTTCTATGCAAGAAAGATTTGTATTCTGCTGCCTTTCCCTGGTTCCTTTCTTGAAGCAACCAGTGTTAACAATTCAGTGCTAATCGTCCACAACTATTGCTAGTACATGTGTGAACATGGATAGATGTATGTGGGCTTAAGGAGCTCCCAGGGTGCAGCTGCTAACCAAAAGGTTGGCAGTTCACACCTATCCAGTCGCTCCTTTGGTACAAAGCCCTGACAGTCTGCTCCCGTAAAGATTGTTGGTTTTGTGTGCTATCAACGTGGAACCAACTCATAGATCACCCTCCAGCGGGTTTTCAGAGTCTATAAATTGCTTGGGAGTTTACCCATCTTTCTCCCATGGAGCAGCTGGTGGATTTGAACCACGCACTTTTGTGTTTACATCTCAGTTCCTTATCACTCTGTGGAGCACCGTCTGTCAGACAGTATCGTTCTGAGACAGAATTGACTCAGTGGCACCTGACGACGTGTCGGTTTACAAATGGGCGCTGTGCTTTGTGGATCCACAGGGTTGAGTGTTAACTACACAACCACACCCTGGTGCTCCAAAATCCAGATTTTTCTCTCTCTAAAGTGGACACTTGGGTTGTGGGACTCACACATCACCCCATGGAAAAAAATTGTTTAGATGAATATAGCCTGTGAGGGAAATGATCATTAATGAAGTCGAAGGAATTTATCAAGTTGGCCTAAAGAACTCCACCCAGGCCTCCTTCCATCTCGTTCTCGAATCAAACACATGAGCTACTGAAGTCACTGGTCCTTTCTCATACTGCTTTGAAGTGCCTGCTGTGAGAGAAGGGAGAAGGGGTAAAAGAGTCCTTTCTTTATAGTCCTTTCTTTAAACTTTATTTTAAAGTCTTGATTTGACTTACTGAATCATTAGTATGTTCACTTGGTTCAGGGCTCTGGTCTCCCTTGTCTGTTCTTCCCTCAGCTAGCCAGGCCTGGCAGTAGTATCACCTCGAGGCTCTTCCATATTCTACACTCTCTGTCCTTGTGGTTTGTGGGCTGTGGTTATGAAATAAACCATAAGCCACTTTTTGTATCATTTTACTCCCTTGGTGAGTGGTCTGCCATGGCTCCCTGGACCCTGCTGTGCTGTACAGGCGTGTGTCTGTCCGCCTTCTCTCTTTGCTGCCTCCCCTACCTGTTGAATTCTCCCTTTAAAAATTATGTGTTCTTGAAGGATAATGTGAAACACAGTGGATACGAAGTTTGTAAGCAAACCAATAAAAGGAAAAAAAAAGCAGTTAATGTCTTCTGCCACAAAGCTACTGGTAGACTCAAACAACCAGAGAGTTGCACCGCCTTTAAGGGAGCCATTGAGTGGTGTGACTGGACTTAGCTCTTCTGAAGATTGCGCTACTGACCAGGTGGTGACACTTAATGAGAACAAATCTCTTCTTCGGGATGAATCATTCCAGAGATGTCGTTGGCATCAGCTGGGTTCCTTGCTGCTAAAGAGGTGAGGTTTATTTTTTTGTTTTTTTCTTTTCCAGGATATGGTTGAGCCCCTTGTACCCACGAATTGCCGATGGGACTCCTGGAACTGGAGAATCAAGAACACATTTTAAAGCCGACCTCATCAGCTATTTGATGGCCTATAATGCTCCTTCTCTCAAGGAGTGGATAGACAACATCCAGGGCCATGATCTTTCAGAAACAAAGTACGTGCCTTCGTCTTTGAGACGTTCATGATATGATCATACCTTGAGCACAGCCGAGGTCTCGGATACAGGATTGGGGGGTGGATGGCAGGCGGTGAGGTGGTGCAGTGATTCGCTCTACTTCCTGGGTGATAAGGGAATGAGAGAAAGCAGGTTGGGGCACTGGCTGCATAACCAAAGATGAAGGCCGGTACAGCTTTTCTCTTCCCTTCAGCCTCCCACTGGAGGGAGCGCTCATAAAATGGAATTTTTTGCCTACTAGGTATTCCACCATTTGTTGTTTTTTGATGGGAAGATGAGGTTGAGTTATCAGATTCTACAGCCAAACAGACATCAGGAGAGAGTGGTCCACCACGTAGAACATTTTATGACGATGTTTCACTTCATTGATTTTTTTTTTTAAAGAAAATTGTATTTTCATTGTGATTTTAACAAAAATTAGATTTTCGTTCATTCATTCTTGCACATTTTACTCCCTTCCCCTCCCGCAATTCACTTTTTTTTTTAAATCCTTCATTGATATACAATTACCTACCCATCCCCACCCCAGTCCTCTTTGCAGTGATATATCTCTTATTCAGGGCTCTTGTAGTACATATAGTGCCTAATCATATAGTCATTTTAGATCATTCTTTCTTTCATCTGTTCCCATGCAGTAGTCATTATCTGTCTTCTGATAGGCATTTTGTGACGGTTCGGTACCCAGGTCAAAACGTTAAAGTCAATAACTTTTCTGTTTTTCAGTGTTTACCTTATTGGATCAACCCCAGGACGCTTCCAAGGAAACCAGAAAGATAATTGGGGTCATTTTAGACTCAGGAAGGTAACAGAGCTTTTCATTTTCATCCTTGATTATATTCTTGGCATCACTATTTTCTTGGCACAGTTCTGAGTGAATGGCAGGTACTTGACATGCTTAGCTTTCATTAATCCCTCCTGATACTTTGTTTTGCCCTGTCGGATGTAGAACCGATAGCTTTAAATGGCATAAGTATGTGGGCTATGTTTTAGGGTTGATGTTTCTCAAATGAAGATAAAGGCTTCTTTCTCACTCAAGCAGTATTAAAGTCATTGACTAGCCTGCTTTTTCAAGGACTTTTGATACACACATTCAGCAAAGAACCAAAAATGGAAGTGAGTGATAAGTGAGCTGTAATGTAGCTTGTCTAATAAACTGTTGTTGTTAGGAGCTGCCGAGTTGAATACAACTCATAGCAACCCTGTGAACAGCAGATCTGAACCCTGTCGTATCCTGTGCTGTCCTCACAATCTGTCAAATCCAAGCCCATTTGCTGTTCGGTGTCAGCCCACCTGGTTAAGGGTCTTCCTCTCCTTCCCCATCCCTCCAGCTTTCTAAGCAAATAGTCTCTCCTAGTAACATTCCCTGTATGTAAGACCAGGCTTTATCATCTTTGTCTCCAAGGCACACTCAGGTTGCAGCTCCTCCAAGACATAATTGTGTATTCTTTGTCTATTCAGTACTCTTCTCCAACACTACACTGACTGTAGTGCCCTTAAAACAACGGCCCAAGACCACTGTCATTTGAGTAGATTCTGCTGCATGGTCACCCTTTAGAACAAAGTAGAACTGCCCTGTAGGATTTTGAAACTGTAACTGTAACCTTTATGAAAACTGATGGACCATTTTTTTTTCTCCTGAGAAGCATCTGATGAGTTTGAACTGCTAACTTTCTGGCTAGCAATGAAGTGACTTAACCACAGCCCCACCGGAGCGTCTTTACTGCCCTTTGAAGACTCATGGTTATAAAAATGATTATCTACTGCTGACATGAAAGAAGGAATAAAGATCTTTAACAAAACCGCATGCAAGTTGAAAATTAAAGTTGTCTTCATCTCTCAAGGAGATAGTTTACTATTCTTAATAAATTCTCTAAAGTGACATTTTTTCAAAAACCTTACTCCACACTCCCTAAATGCTTTATGTTATGTAAGAATTCCTTTAGTTAACAGAAGCTTTTCTTTTTTGAAACGGGCCACAGCTTAAAGCAGATGAGATCTCAGCTCTGTACTTGTTAACCAAGAGAGTGCAGCCCAGAGGCCATGTGGGCTCGAGAACACTCCAGTGCTTGAACTCCAGTCCTGTTGCTTACAATCCATGTGGCCTTCGCTAGTTCATAATGTGCCTGTCCTCTCTGAAACGTGTAGTCTCTTCCCATTGCACAGAGGATTATACAGAGATTAAATGAGATGACGAAGTCTTGGCTAAGTGTCCAGAAACGTCAGTCACACTGGTCCCTCTAACAGGTGCGTCACTGAGATCTGCCCAGACGCTGCAGCTCATCAGTGACCGAGCAGCAGGATCAGACGAGGGCTCACCGTCATCAGTTCAGCGCCGCTGCTACACCGTCTGCACCCTGGATGGGAGTGGGGACCTATGTCAGCTTTTTGATAGGTGCTGAGGATGTGTTGCAGAAAATAATGGGTATTGAAATAAATTACAGATCAGTCAGAGGAGAATTCCATGGGGCAAGAGCCAGAGCTTGCTTTTCTTGGGATCTCCAGTCTCTAAGAACAAAGACTCCAACTTCTACCGTCAGGCGTCAAGTGGTAACTCTGTCTGGTATTGTGTTAAAGCCCTGATAATTGATAATGTTGAACAGAGCACCTGTTTTGTCTATTGACTGTCTTCTTTGGAGAAACGTCTGTTCACATCCTTCTGCCTATTTTAAAATTGGATTATTTGTCATTTTATTATTGAAGTACAAAAGTTCTTTGTGTATTATAGGCATAAGTCCTTTAATAGACAGTATGTTTGCTGAACTTGAGGATGTGAAACGCTTGCTGCAGAAGGTCTAGGACTATAGCCTTCAGTATGGATTGAAGCTCAACAGCAAGAAAACAAAGATTCTTTCCACTGGGGCGTGATGGATGGAGAAGATATTGAGGTTATTAACAATTACAGCTTGGCTTGACTCCACAGTCAACACTCTTGGCACCTGTAGTCAAGAAATCAAAAGACAAATTGCATAGGGAAAATCTGCTGTCGGCGACCTTTCCAGAGTACGGAGAAGCAACAAGGCTAGTCTAGAAACTAAGGTGCGCCTGATCCAGGCCATGGTCTTCACAATTACTTGCTATGCATCAGAGAGCTGGACAATGACTATGGATGACCGAACAAGAATCAATGCCTTTGAGTTGTGGTGCTGGAGAAGAGTATTGAACATACCATGGCCCGCCAAGAAAACAAATAGATGTCTTGGAGAGGGTAAAACTAAATTTTTCCTTGGAGGCTAGGATTTTGAAGCTCCGTCTCACATACTTTGGACCCATGGCCAGGAGGGACTGGTCCTTGCAGAAGGATATCATGGTCAGAAAGGTGGAGGGACAGTATGGAAGAGGAAGACCCCGGATGAGATAGATTGATGCAGTAACTGGGGCAGTGGGGGTAGAGGTGTCAGCGTCAGTGAGACTGATTTAGGACAGAACAGACTTCAGAGCTGTTGTACACAGGGCCACTAGGAGTCACAGGCAGCATGAAGACACCTAACAGCAACAGCATTCCTATTCTTATTCTTCTCCCTTTTTAAATAAATTCATTAAATCATAAGATAGTTTTGTCTACCTTGGGGTTTTGTTGTTGTTGTTGTTGTTGTTTTAAATGAACAATGTATCCTGTCTGACATTCTTTAGTTGCGCAGTATTCCACTGTGTGGCTGTGTTGTGTATATAGTCGGTTCCCAGTTGATGTGTCTTAGTGTTGTGTACAGTGTAAGGCTGTTTGAGTTAATCCCCGAGTTAATGCAACCTTGTGTCATCCATGTTTCCCTAGAGCATGTTGGTGCATGTTGTGAGACGTGAGCTTTCAGGTCAGAGCATAAACACACATGTCATTTGGTGAGATGCTGATCGGTCCGTCTGTACTTGACGTTTGCATTCATTCCCCCTTACCGTGTGCTGGAGCAGCTGGGAACCAATATCGGCCTTCTGGCTTTTAACCAACTATCGTGAAAAAGGATACCTCTGTGTAGGTTTAGTTGGTTTATGGTGCTATTGAGGTGGGTAGGGGTTCTTTTTTTCCCCCATGCTTAAGGACTGTTTAAATTTTTCCTGTCAACTTGTTGATCAATCTCCCAAGATATAACTTGGACACATAATAACACTTAGTTTAAGCAGGTTTTTTCCCCAAAATAATAGTGAAATTGGATTTTTTTTCAGCTCTGCATAAGTATCAAACACAAAAGAAATGCAATTCGGTATTCTGTCAGGCAATAGATAATCGGGGGCTGGGCTGTATGAGGAGAAGTGTGGCATCAGGATTGGAGGAAGACTCATCAACAGTCTGCATTAGGCAAATGACACAACTCTGCTTGCTGAAACTGAGGAGGACCTGAAGCACTTGTTGCGGAAGGTCAAGGACTGCAGCCTTCAATATGGATTGAGGCCCAGTATCAAGAAGACAAAGATTCTCACCACTGGGCCGATTGGCAGCATCAGGATGGATGGTGAAGAGATTGAGATTGTTCACAGCTTTAGTTTGCTTGGCTTCACAGTCAACACTCTTGGCACCAGTAGCCAGAAAATGAAAAGAAGTATTGCAATGGGAAAGTCTGCTGCTAGGGACCTCTCCAGAGTACTGAAGAGCAATAATGTCACTCTGGAGACTAAGGTGCACCTGATTCAGGCTATGGTCTTTGCGATCACTTGCTATCCATCAGAGAGCTGGACAATGACTAGGGAGAATAGAAGGCGAATTGATGCCCTTGAGCTGTAGTGCTGGAGAAGAGTATTGAATATACCATGGGATGCTAAGAAAACAAACTGATTCATCCTGAAGAGGGTTACACCAGGCTGCTCCTTGGAGGCAAGGATTCTGAAGCTTCATCTGACATACTTTGGACACGTTGCAAGGAGAGACCAGTCCTTGGAAAAGGACTTCGTACTTGTGAGGGTGGTGGGACAGTGCAGGAGGGGAAGATCCTCTATGAGGTGGATTGATTCAGTGACTGGGGTAATGGGGGGGTAGGTGTGTTGGAGACAGTGAGATTGGCACTGGACAGAGCAAAGTTTAGGGCTGCTGTACATAGGGTCACTATGAGTCGCAGGCAACTCAACGGCACATAACAACAACATAGGTAGTCGGCATCTGTAGGGAAACAGGTTCTGTTTTCTTTTTCAACCTCTGCTGCACGTGGAGCCCAAGTCTGAGGCTGGGACTAGTAAACCGCTTTTACATGCTTGAAGTGAAACCACATGGTAGTTTTGACTTCCAGGGATCTCAAGTAATTAGGATTGCAAGGCAGAAATCTATTTCATGAGGCAGCTTGGTGGTTTACTTGCCATTTCTCCTAACGTGGTTTTTTGTTGCTTTTTATATGAAACAAAGAATTTTGAAGGGGGAAAGCTTCCCTATCCACCTTACTCCGTGAAAATATTCTTTATATGTTTAAAACCTATTTTCTATTGTCCAGGTGTTTTTACTGGTTCAAAACTTAGCTCCAGAATTTTGATGTTTTAAAACTGCCAGTTTATAGGCAGCTCATCATGAGTGATTTAAGCAATTCCTTACTGATGATGCTCTTCTGGGGCTGAAAACCAGGTTTTTGGTCCCTGAGGCGTTTCTGTGATTTGCCCAACAAGCAGCTTTCCTTCTCTTTTCTTCTTCGGCAGCTGCTCAGAGAACACGCCTCGCCCTTGCCTAACGCAGAGACATGGCCTGTGATCGGCCAGTTTTCCAGCATCGGCTCCATGGGCTCCGACGAATCAAAGTGGTTGTCCTCTGAGTTCAAGGAGAGTCTGGTGACCCTGGGGAAGGAGACGAGGCCTCTGGGGAGAAGTACTGCTCCTCTTCATCTGGTGAGTGCTGGGAGCCCCCCTTAAGTCAATTTCAGCTTGTTCTCTAGTCCAGAAAGTGGCTTGAGAACGAGACTCGCGTGTTAGGGTTGTGACGTACCATCAACTTGAGTGGGACTCATAGCGACCCTGTGAATGACAGACCTGAACCATGGCCTGTGCCGTCCTCTCCATCTCTGCCCCGCGGGAGCCCACTGTGAGCGTCGCTGTGTCAGTCCGGCTCGTTGGGGTTGTACTCTCTTTGGCTCACCCCATCCTGACAACATGCCCAAAGTATATGAGACCAGGCATCACCATCTTTGTGTGTTGGAACAACCCTGGCTGCCTGTCCTCCAGACCATGGAATGTTCAGGACTCTTCTCTGCCGTGGTTCAAAGGCAGTGAATCTTCTCCAGTCTTGTTAGTAGAGCAGTGTTGTAGTCAGTGATTTGGGGACAGGAACGGAGGTGTGTCGGCCCCGTCATTGGGAATCAGATGGCTTTAAACTTGTCCGGTGCCGAGAGCTTGCTGTTTGGTTCAGGAGCTGTTTTGGTTCAGCCACCAGCAAGTGCTTGTTTCTATTATTCCTTTTTTCTTTTTTGTTATCAGGCTCAGGAGAAAAAGGACCTTTAATAGAACATGGCAGGAGAATTCTGAGAATTATTAATTATTTAAAGACCTATGGATTAAAAATTAATTTTGCTTTCCATCCTAGTGTTAATTTGGTATTTCAGGGGGAAAAATATTCTAACAAGTGTTAAATTTTTCCTATCAAATATATATACTTCCTGTAGTTTAATTACTAGAACTTCCATCTTCTTTTCAGCAAGACAGGCACTTTTTAATTGTAAGCACATTTTAAAGTATGTTTTCTAAGTTTTAAGTATTTTGAATTGAGCTCTTCATTTTCTAAAAAAGAAATCACTCCTTTTAACAGGCTACTCAGCTCAAGTCTCATTGGAATTTATTGGTTTCTTCTTCTTTTTAGATCTATCCTTCCGTGGAAAATGTGCGGACAAGCTTAGAAGGATATCCTGGTAATTATTGGGAAGATTGTTTCAGTATTTTTTTGTGTGTATACAGAGTTTTTAAATGCCCTGGGCATCTTTTTTCAAACAAGTGATAAGAACGCCTTCTTCCTTGAGATGAGAAAAGGATTGATGAGAGATTCAGGAATGGTTTTCTTTTAACGGGATGGAAGTAGGTAATCCAGAGCACCGTTATGTCGCAGAGGTGGTACGGCACAATGGGGTGTGCTGTTTCATTCTGGCCGTAACCCACTGCAGGACACACCTTCTCTTCTTTACCTATGAGACCGTTCTCAGCTCTCTTACCAGCAGCTTGGTCATCCAGCATGGGCCTCCAGATAAAACCAAGGGCTTCTGCCTTTCCAAGCAGAAGCACAAGACCTGTCTCTGACCCTCCCTCATCTTCCCCTCATCCTCCCGGTGCCCCCCGGCCCACTAAGTATACCACCTCTGTCTAAGCTGTTAAATGTGACTCACCCATGTTTGAATCCATGTTTGAGTATTGAATCCGATTGGGATACAGATGTATTTAAGGTCTGCAACTCAATGCCTAATATTGAAGTGAACCTTTTGTTATAACTGAGCTGAGCATTGTTCCTTCAATTGTTTCGTCTGTAAATGCCTGGGATTATTTCGTAGCCGTCTTCCGGCCCTGCCCACCATCTCCTTTAGGCCAGCACCCGTGCGTTACACTTCTGTTTGGAAATCAGTGGTGCAGGGTTAATGCAGTCAAGGGATGTAACTCGAAATCCAAATAGCGCATGCTTGCGCCTGGTTAAAGGTGGGTCTGATTGTCTTGAGCTGATGGGTAAAGTACAGTGGCCTGACCCAAGTGAATCTTGTTAATTTATTGTTAATCGCACCACTCTCCTTCCTGCCGGGAGATTCTCAGCAGAGTTTGCAGTGTTTCTGCTTTAACCCATGTCTTGCCTTTGAGTGACAAAGCTAAAATTACTTCCCTGAGCATCAGGGGCATGAAGCTGGTTTTGTCTTTTTTACTGTACCTCTAATTGGCTATCTAAATACAAAGCACACTTTTAATGAGGAAGAACATGGCATTTTCCCTTTTTGAAAAATTCTTTTTTTAAAAAAAAAAAAGCATGGTATTTTCAACAAAGCTCTTTTATAACTGCTCCTGGAACTCTGAGTATGTTTTTAGTTATTTGCAATAGGAGAGCGGGCAAACAAGCCGTTTTCAATATGCCAGAGACAATTAAAATGCTCTTTGGATTCAGGTTATCTTGGAGAAGTTCCAGCCGTTTCGCAGGTCGCTGAGGAATCGACAGTGGCATTTACCTCCTTTGAAAGATCAGCGTCGATTGGCTTTTTAATTGTGTTTCTGCTTGGAACAGCATCTCAGTTCTCTCTGCAGGCGTAGGTTTTTAGATATTCTTGTAAAAACCCAACTGTTTACTGAACAATTTAGTTTGTTGTTGTCATTATCCTGTCCGGTTTGTAAGACTTTGTGTAGGTAACGCAGAGTCTGTGTGGAAGTGTAGAAGTTCAAAGAGGCAGGGGGTTGGCACTCACATCCCAGCCTGCCCTCCACATGCCGGGGTCCTGTGCAGAAGCACGGCCGCCCTGCAGGCCTTATCTTACAGACTGGGGCTCAGTGCCTGTCATTCTCAGGGGCAGCAGAATGGGCCTGGCTTCTTTTGGGGGCCTTCCCCCAACACTTCAAATCTGTGCTGTCATGCATAGACTAAATTACCATCACAGAGTTCTTTAATTACACTGTTAACTTGCAGATAATAAACATTTACGATTTCATGCCTCTCTCTGAAGAGAGGAAACGCACTGGGAGACCATGCCAAATGCAAATGCAGACTTTTTTCCTTCAAAGAAACATGCTAGGAGACCTGTGAGCAAAGCAGTTGTAGTTGTTTTAGACACTGACACTGTTCACTGTAGATATTCTTAATGGAGGGATCGTTAAATGACATTTCATGATCTTTACTGACGTACCCTGTGTTTCTTCTCTGAAAAGCTGGGGGCTCCCTTCCCTATGGCATCCAGACGGCTGAAAAGCAAACATGGCTGCATTCCTACTTCCAGTAAGTAATCGGTTTTAGTGCTGCTGTTGCTACTTCAGGGATAAAGACATGCTTTGTATCAAGCAAGACCTTATGCCATCCCCCCCCCCCCCACTTACATATGTTCGTGGTGTGGAATAATTTGAAACAAAGTTTGGAGATTTTTTTTTTCTCCCCTCAATAGGTTTTTAATGTCAAAGAGTACAGTTTATCTCTGTGGTTTCTATGTAAATATTGGCATGCCAAAGAGAGAGAGAGAGAGAGAGAAACTTTGCTGGGTAGTTTAGAATTTATATAAGCAGCATTCTAGTTCATGTTCTCAAACTACGAAGTCGAATCCTTCAGACTGCTCACTGAGGCTCACTGGGGGCAGGGTCCACACCACATTTTCCTGGGAGGACGTGGTGGTGTTTGAGTGCTGTAGGGATTCAGTAAACGGCTGCTGAGTGGACAGATGAAGGAATAGCACCTATCCTCCTCTGGCCACAGCAGTTCCAGGTCCTGCTCATCCTAGGCCGTTCCTGGCTCCATGGTGTCGTGTCTCAATAGGTAATTGTCTATAGTATCAGGCAGCACGTCAGTTCTGGGGAATCCAATGCCAGCCACTCATGTGTTGCTTTCCCAGGGCTGCTGCCACCCCATCAGGGATCAGCAGGCCTTCCAACAGGGTAAAAAGGGAAGCCACGGACTAGGAAAAAGTATTTGGTAATGACATGTCAGATAAGGGACTTCTATCTAGAATTTATAAAGTACTTGAGCACCACAACAAGATAAAGGTAAATAATCCAACTGAAAAATGGGCACAGGATATGAACAGACACTTCACCAAAGAAGACATTCAGATGGCCAACAAGTACATGACGAAATGTTCAAAATCCCGAGCTCTAAGAGAGATGCAAAGCAAAACAAGTATGAGATATCATCTCCCCCCAGTAAGAATAGCAAAATTTAACAGAACAGCAAGCAGTAAATGCTGGCAAGGTTGTGGAGAAACTGGAATCCTTATTTACTGTTGGTGAGAGTGTAAAACGGTATTACCACTGTGGAAGGCAGTATGGCGCTTTCTCAAAAAGTTGCAAATAGAGATACCATTTGACCCAGCAATTCCACTACTGGGAATATACCCTAAAGAGACCATAACCGACATCCAAGCAGATATATGCACACCCATGTTTATTGTGGCTTTGTTCACAGTAGCAAAGAGTTGGAAACAACCTAAGTGCCCATCAACAAATGAATGAATAGAGAAGCTGTGGTATATTCGCACAAAGACCAGCAAGCTTACAGATAACATTCCCCTAATAGGAAAGTCAGCGTGTCGGGTCTGTGTGCTTTTGTAAGAAGGTACTGCACCTTCACACTCTTCCAGAAAGCACGAGACAGGATCCTCGGCTGGACTGAATCTCTGCAGATTCACGGGGGCCTTTAGGAGCCGCGGTCCCTCCCCACGGTGTCTCTGGGAAAATGGGTCCTTATACGTCTGTCATGTTGACACCAGCTGCTCCAGGGGAGAAGGATGGGCAGGCCCCTCGCATGCAATTACTGCCTATGAAAACCTGCTGGCGAGTCACTACGGATCACTTCCGGCTCTGTGGTACACAACAAACAACAACAGTGCTGTGGATAGCTTGACCGCCGGGGAGTTCAGGTTGTTGAAATCCTGTGTCTCGTTGGAAATGAGGACAAGTTTATTTGCAGTCGCTTTGAACCCCTTACTTCAGTGTATCGTACAGAGACTTTAATGCCGTCACAGAAGTTTGTGCCTTACAGAGGATATTTCTTGATATTAAACTCCTTCCTGTTGTTTACACTTAGCTACTAAACGGCTGGTGGCTTGAACTCACTCCATGGTGCCACAGAAGAAAGTCCTGGCAATCAGCTGCCATAAAGATTGCAGGCAAAAGAACCCTTCTCAGCCATTCTGCTGTTGCATGTGGGTTTGCCACAAATCAGAATTGGCTTGATGACAATGGCTTTGGTTTCTTGGTTTGCAGTATTATAAGGTTCTCCCAAAATGAAACCTCCTGATTTCATTCTAAAAAGCAGTCTGTTATTTCGAAGGACCATCATCCAGTGTTCATTATGTTAGAATCACTACCTCATGACAGAGATAATTGCTCTTTGGGTCCGTTGCCATATAGAATTCGAACTCAGGCGTGCAGCACTCAGTGTTGGACTGAGGTGTCTCTGAGTTACAACCATACATCCAGTGTTCACATTTGGGTTTTTAATTTCATTTTACCCCTTTAGAGGCTTGTCTCGTCCAGCAAGCTTTTCCTGAACTTCCACAAAGCAGGACCTGTGTGGTTCCTGCCTTCAAGAGGCTCAGTCCAGCTGAAGACAAGATTTGTACATAGGCGGTTTGCACAGCAGAAATCACGTACATGAGGGCACATGTGTGTTGATGTCAAAAAAGGACAGGAAGGATTATATATCAGAAGGTTATTGTTGCTCAGTGGAGGGCGATTTTCCCTTTCCGAAGAGTGACACGTCCTAAAAGCAAACAAAAACGGCTCATTGCTCTCATGACTTACTGCTGCTGCTTTTCAGAGGCTGTCACTCGCACAGGAAGAGATTGCCCATCATTCTCCTGTGAAACAGCTGATGGATTCGAACCACCTCTCTTTGAGCTGGTAATGCAACTCCTTACCTACTAGGCCACCAGAGCATACGGGGTTTTTTTTTCTTGATGATCTGAACAGAGCTGGGTACAATGCTCCAGACATTGTCATGTTTAAATTACACAATTTTGCCTTTGACACATTATTTTTTCCATCCTGTTTTCTCATTAATGGGTTGTGTTTCTTCCATCACTAGCAAATGGTCAGCCGAGACGTCTGGACGCAGCAACGCCATGCCACACATCAAGACGTACCTGCGGCCCTCTCCAGACTTCAACAGGGTCGCTTGGTTCCTCGTCACAAGGTAAGCACTCTTTCCCCTCCTCATGGGAGGCTTTGTTTTCTTTACGTATTTTATTACATATATTTACTGGATTGCATACAATCATGCATGTACATTGTGTTTCACGCATATACATTATGATTTATATAATCTTTCATTTACATTATATTTTACTTATGTAGATTGTGAGGATTTTTCCCCCCACTTTACAATCATTTACTAATAAGTATATTCGTGAAAGCATGTAAGCCAGCTATTCATGCCTCACGCCTTAACTTGCCCATTGTAGATAGCCGATTTCTGATTTGCCCATTCCTGCAGAACTCTGGGGGAACAAGCAGACCCCTTTTGCTGAGGAATTTTCTCTTCAGTTTGGGAACTCTGAGCATCTGCAGATGCTCAAGCAAAGTCCAGTCCCGAGCAAACCATCAGGTAGCAGCAATTACACCAGCTCACAGGATGGATCATCTTCGTCTGCTTGGGTTCTGGTCAACCCGTGCCCCCATCTGTGGCTAGATCCAAATGGGCATCAGCTGCCAGCTCAGGGGTCCACCCTTCTCCCTGCATTCCAGACCGGGTGGTCCCTTCACTCAGCCCTCACCCCCCATACACGACCAAGTCAATAAGCTAGGGGTTCTCATGACTCCCTATTCCTCAAGCCAGCAGACGTCTTTTCACCTGTCCGTACATCTGTGCATGTAAGTGGGCAGCGCTGAAGGAACACGTTCAAGCTCAGCCTGTCCCTCCATTGTTATCTGCCTCCTGGATCCAGGTGATCACTACAAGTTAGCATACTTCCCCTTTAACTCCAAGCTCTACAAAGGGGCTCTGATGGACACCAACTTGACTCTGCCTCAAAAGCCAGCTTGTTCCAGTTTTAGAAAGTCAGGCTTGTTTTTTCTTTCTCTCTCTTCTTTGCCTTTCTTTCAAATGGGAATCTCTAATCAAAAGTCTAAAATCCATTCAGATGCAAATCTCAAGAGTACTAGATGGGAGTTAATCTTTTCCTTAGGTTATGTCCCAGGACCCTCTACCAAATTCTACTTTTAAAAAGGTTATCTCCAGGTCTTCCCTTTTTCAGTATACTTATCAAGTACTTGGAAGCAGGAGTGGCATCCACTTCCTAAACAACATGCTTCTGGAAACTCTATGAACTTTGAGAAATGATGATAGCTATAGAAAGGCTTCAGGAATTTTGTTCATAGGGCCACCATGAGTCATGCTCTACTCAACGGTAGTCAACAGCAACAACAATAATCAAGTACTAGTCATTGTCCAGCTCTCTGATGCATAACAAGCAATTGTGAAGACCATGGCTTGGATCAGTCACACCTTAATCTCTCAAATGACATCGTTACTCTTCAGTACTCTGGAGAGGTCCTTGACAGCAGATTTTCCCAGTGCAGTTCATCTTTTGATTTCCTGATTGCGATCCAAAGAATGTTGATTGTGGAATCAAACAAGCTGAAGCTGCTAACAATCTCAGTCTCTTCACTGTCTATTATGGTGCTGCCAGTTGGCCCAGTGGGGAGGATCTTTGTTTTCTTGATGTTGAGCTTCAATCCATTTTGGAAACTGCAGTCTTTAACCCTCTGCAGCAAATGCCTCAGCTTCTCCTCAGTTTCAATAAGCAAGGTTGTGTCATCTGCATAACGCAGATTGTTAATAAGTCTTCCTCCACTTCTGATGCCACATTCCATCCACCTCATAGAGCCCAGCCTCTCAAATTACCTCTTCCACATATCTATTGAAAAGATACGGAGATAGGACACATCCCCATTGTAAACCTTTCCTAATTTTGAACCATTCCGTTGTTTCCTTGCTGTGTTCTGACAGATGCTTCTTCGACCAGATAAAGGGTTTGTGTAAGCATAATTACACATTAATAGGTTCACCTTGTTTGATTCTTCTCAAAGTTAGCTACAGTTTGTTGTGATCCACATAGTCAAGTGCCTTTGTATAGTCAGTGAAACAGATAATATTCCTCTGGTACTCTCAGCTATCAGCTAAGATCCATTGAACATTGTCTGTAATGTCCTTAGTGCTATGGCCTCTTCTAAAACCCAACTTGCACATCTGGCAGTTCTCTGTTGAGGTATTGTCCAATGACTAAGGATGATAGAAAAATTGATACCTTTGAGTTGTAGTGCTATAGATCATCAGTATTGAATGTACCATGGACTGCCAAGAGAACAAACAATTCTGTCCTGGAGCGAGTGAAACTGAGCTGCTCGTTAGAGACAAGGATTTTGAAGCTATCTCACATACTTTGGGCATGTTGCCAGGAGGGACTAATCTTTGGAGCAGGACATCACATTTGGGTGGGTGGAGAGACAGCACAACAGAGGAAGAACCTTCGTATGAGATGGATTGACTCAGTAACTGGGATAGTGGGGGTAGGTGTCTTGAAGACAGTGAAATTGGTTCAAGATAGGACAGGATTCAGAATTATTGTACGTAGAGTTGCTATGAGTTGCAGGCGTTTCAAGACGATGGCACATAAAACCACATCATGCGTGTTGTGCTCCTCACCATCCCTCACACACACTGTTGTTGTTGTTGTTGTTGTTGTTAAGGCCGTTGAGTTGCACATGACACATAGCAACCCTATGAAGGAGAGTCCTCGACGCTTGGGCATACACATTGTACTTCAGATAATTAACTACCACTTTCCATGTTCATTATCACCTGTTCCCTGAGTCACCACTAAATTTTCCTCTCCCCGCTGCCCACCAAACTCTGCTATCCCTGTGATAATCTCCCCTCCCCCTTAATATACCTCCTCCTATTTAGTTCTCTCAGCTTGATGTTCTCTAGGGTGTTCTGTGTTTTGTAGTATTTTACAAATTCATTGTTCTTTGGTGGTGCATAATATTCTGCTGTGTGAAGGTACCATGGTTTCTCGATCCATCCCTTTGTTGATGGGCATTTGGACTGTTTCCATTTGCTTACTATTGTGAATAATGCTGCCATGAACATGCTGTTGTTTGTTGTTATGTGCCGTTGAGTCGCTTGAGACTCAAAGCGACCCTGTGCACAACAGCACCAAACCCTGCTCTATCCTGTGCCAATCGCACTGCCTCTGACACACCCATCCCGATTATCCCAGTCACTGAATCAATCCATCTCATAGAGGGTCTTTCCCTCCTGCGCTGTCCCTCCGCCCTCCCAAGCATGATGTCCCTCTCCAAGGACCTGTCCCTCCTTACAACATGTCCACAGTATGTCAGACAAAGCCCCAGAATCCTTGCCTCCAAGGAGCAGCCTGGTTTAACCCTCTCCAGGCTGAATCTGTTTGTTTTCTTGGCAGTCCATGGTACATTCAATACTCTTCTCCAACACCACAGCCATGAACATAGATGTATATATCTCCATTCGTGGTTCAGTTCTGATTTCCTTAAGATGTATTCCTAACAGCAGAATAGATGGGTCATTGGGATTTCTTTGTTCAGCTTTTGAGGAAATTCCCAACTGCTAATGCGAAGCATTTTTTAATGGTATTTGTGACACGCCCTCTGAATAGTGAACTGGTTTCCTGAAAGGTGATTCGTGAAGTGTTGCTCACTGGTTTTGTGCGAGTGTGGATGCCTGGCGGTGGGGACTGTTACATGACCCTTATTTAAAGGAAGGCTGCAGTTAATCCCTCTGCAGGGCTTGATTTATATTAAAAATCTAAATATTTAGAAGATTTTTATAAAGTTGATATTTACTTATGTTACTTAATGCTTTAATAATAGGAATTCTGTAAACTAGCATCTAGGAATGAACAGAGTTAAAAATTAAATAGTAAAATAAAAGCGGTAACATTATGATCTGTCCCTTAATTATTTCTTCTTCAGACAATTGGAACTGGAGCTACTGATCCCGTAGGTATTCTGTTGTGGGTTTGGGGTTTTTTTACATATTTATTATAATATGGTTCACACACCATCTAGTTCTCCCACTTAACAGCATATGATTTAGTGGTTTTAGTACCTTCATAGAATTGTGCATTATGCTGCCTTACAAAAAAAAAACCAAACCATATCCATTAGCAATCTGTTTGATTGTTTTTATGGCCCAGGAGAGGGTTGTGCCCCTTGAAAAGCTGAGCTGTGACAAGAATCATTGTTGCTCTGCCCTGGTCAGACTTCAGACCATTAGATATCCTCATGACTCGAACAGCTGAGGTCAGGAGCAACTCATTCAAATATTGGAGTATTATTCAAGTGAGCTCTGGTAGCTGAGAAGCTATGCTGGAATCCCGAAGGCACATAGTTCAAATCCACCAGCTGTTCCACAGGAGAAGGAAGGGCAATCAGTCTCCTCTTCTGCAATTAACTGCCTAGGAAAACCCATCAGAGAGCCAGCTATGGATTGGTTCCAATTTGACGGCACACAACAACAACATTCTAAAAGAAAGTTCTCAACTACTAGAGTAGAATTCTTTAAGAAGGAACTCTATTCATGAACAAATGTCCGTACGAAAGAATCTCTTAGAAACAAAACCAGATCATTTTCCCTTTCCTGGAAATCAGTTAGTGGTCTGAATGTGTCTGAACTAAGATTCTGTGTGTGTTTAGTGCAGCAGCCCCAGACCCCCGTAGAGTTCCTGGTGTATTGAAGGAAACATGAGAGCCAGGATGTCAGCAGTGTCGTAAAAGAGTTGCCTAGATTGATGTATTTATTACCAGAGGTGCTTCACGGAGGACTCCTGAGGTTTCTGACATCAGCCTAGGAGTCAGTGTTCGCTGCTGCTTTAGGCGCCATTGCTCACAGTATCCACATTCACTTTGTCAGTCCGTCTTGTTGAAGGTCTTCATCTCTTTCTCTGACTCTCAGCCTTTCCCAGAATAATATCTTTTTCCAAAGACTGGCCCTGCCTGAGAACATATCCAAAGTATGTTAGACAAAGCTTCACCATCCTTGCCTCTATGGAGCCACGCTCATGGCACTTTCTATAAGACAATGACAAGATCATTCCTAATCACTTAGTTGTTCTTTTGGTACTGCATGGGATATTCAGTACTCTCTCCAACAGC